AAATCTGCTTCCCGCCACAGCGTGGGCAGAACAGGGCCCGCTGCTCCGGCTCCGGCTTTGTGACAAAAGACACAATGTCGCGGCTCGCTGTAGTTCAGGAAGGTCGTGTTTATAGCCGTCGCCGTACGGCGGTTCCAGGCCAAAGGCATTGTGCTGCTCCTCACTCTCCTTCCGTTGTGCTGGCTTGAAGAGCTGTTCCGAACTATTCCGAAGTATGCCGTTGTTTCAGTCCATCATGTCAAACATAGTTGGTGCAAAGCTTGGCTGTTTAAGGAGCGGAACATTGACTGTCATATTCCGTCGGATTGTCCATGAAGCAGAGGAATATCAAGATGCGTTCCGGTCCTCCTTGCTCGTGATGTTGGTTGCTGCAGCTGAGCGGAAGCATGCAGGTGAGGGTTTGCCAAGCAAGAGCCCACACCCCTTGATCTTGCTTGAGATCTTCTGTGCCATCTCGTACTTCATGCCCTTGATTTGCCGGCCTCGAGCGCCATTGTTGACTCAACCTCGCCTGTGCTGGTGATTCCAGTGAGCTTGCACAATGGCTGGCCCGTGCTTCATGCTTCACGGGTTGACGGTAAGCCATTTGCCGGCCGGTGCTGACCCAAGCGTTTTCACGCCGGCTGCAGACCCGGAGAAGTCAGTGCCCGGGGAGTAAGTTGCTGATCCACAATATCTTTGGTCTCGACTTGACTAGACCGAGCCAAGCAGCCATAATGGACAAATGTCGCGACGCAGGTGTAATGCCAGTTTGCGACGAATATGTCACCAGGAACTCTTGATTTTTCCTAGATGCACGTGGTTCCTGCTGTGTGTGGTTTTGTTCAAGTCAAAGTGGTCCAGCGAGCCGAGCTCTTTTCGTAGTGGAGGCCTTGCATAGCATCAATGGATCGGATCGACAAGTCTCCGCCCAGATATGCGGACATGGAGTTCATGGATGCGTCGCCTACAAGAGGCCGATACACTTTCTGGGAGCTTCATCGTATGCTGGCCGACTGTTACGAGACGGACGTAGCCACCAGTTCAGTTGCTCCCGGACGAATCAGTTGGACTGAAAGGAGCAGCTCTATTCATCGTGGGAGGAAGGGACGCTCGCAGAGTGTCAAGAGGGACCGAAGGCCGTCACTGGAGGTTATGGTGGTCCACCCACCGAAGCCACCCCCAACACAAGAGCTTCCACCTGCGCCACCACTAGATCCGATTCTCTGCCAGTCGGTATCTCCAGACAGTTCCAGTGAGAAGCCTGCAAACGTTGCTCATAGAAGCTTCGTCCAGACACTGCGCAGCTCAGCTTGGTTTGCAGATCTGTGCTTTGTGGTGTTTTTTCCAACTGTGAATGCTTTGTGCAATGCAGTATTGGAAAACCCAGAAAGCCCGTGGTGTGGATTGTAGGGTGTAAGCAAGCCCTGTCCCTCGAAATGAGCTGTGTTAACTCCTCGTGTGTTAAAGCCTTAAACCCTATCCCGGAAGAACGCGGGGCCAGGTGATCTGCATGGGCTAGGAAGTGGAGACAATGATGTCGATGTGGCAAGCCTTCAGCTGCACTGCCACGACTGCTGGCAAACCCGGCTGGAGAAGAAGGCCAGAAGTTGGGGGCCGGGTGGGTTTCTGGGCTTCATCTCCTCAGACTTCGTCACATCTTGCGCTCTGATATCACTAGAATCATCCTACTGACGATGTGAGTTCTGACCTCGCAGTTAGAGTCCTCATCTATTTCTCAGAAGCCTTCCACGCTCTCTGCTTGGTTCAGGTTCATCCGTTCTTACAACATATGTGTGTGTGTATATATATATATATATGCATGTGTATGTATGTATTTTTTTCATACACATCTCTGAGACTTCTGCTTTTGAGTATCTTTCCGCCAATCACCGCACATTAGAGCCCATGCAAAGCTTTTCTGCAAGCAACAACACAGACAACGTCGGCCTCGATATAAACCATACGTCCATGCTGAGAGCCTCTATGTCCGGCACTTCAACCTTTTTTATATCAAAAGGACTTCCACTGTTTGGGTCCTTCCGACAGATGTTTGTCAATCAGTGCTCTAAGTAGAGTCTACACGTGCACAGAGCCCCAACTTGCCACCTCAGGGGACTCTTGAGTAGCTTAGTGCTCGGTTGAAGGAGGCCGGAGGGCCAAAGAATCAACACACATTGAGGATCGAAGGCTAAAGATTGCCCAGGAGGTTCGTGAAGGTTGAGCCACATGTTCTTGAGAGAACAGTTGGAAACACTAATGAACATCACAGTTGATTGAAAGTCGAGGATCAAGTATTCTCATCGGAACCTGTCCGCGGCAGTAAGTTGATCTTTGGAATTCGAGATTGCACCTAAACATTAAACCCTAAGCCCTAAACCCTTAACCCAAAACCCTAAACCCTAAACCCCAAACCGCGCCGCGACCTTGAGTTTCAATTTGCACCAATTCTCTCCCACCGTGCTTCGTTCTCCGCTGTCGCTCTTAGGGTTTTAGGGTTTAGGGTTTTAGGGTTTAGGGTTTTAGGGTTTAGGGCTTTAGGGTCTAGGGCTTTAGGGCAGTCAAAGAACCCACGAAACGGGACAAGGTCATCACCACGATGCTCCCAATTTATCTCGGCGGATGCCTCGTACCAGTCCTCGGCCCAGTCACACATAGTGGCTGTTGACACGGACACGGACTCTGAGCCGGATATTGGGCTGGCTTTTTTTGTTTAAATCAAGAAGTTGGCAGGGTTCTTCGAGATCTATTTGGAAGAGACCAGGTCTAAGTCTAGTGCTAGGCTTCAGGCACCGACCCCCCAAAAACTCACAAAGCATAACAAGCCAAAGGCCAGATCCTTCAGTCTTCAAACACTGCCCATAGGCTCCTTAGTAATACTTCCTTTTTGGGATTACCGTATAGGATTCTAAACATACACCAGAAAAAGGAACTACTTAGGAGTTTACGGGTAGGCCTTTGAACCCTGAACCCTAATCTGGAGCAAAAGGACACCAAGCCGCAGAAGTCCTGGGTCTGCATGCTCCATCCCAGTGGCGGCCTCCGCACTTCTTGGAACCTCCTGGTGCCCTGGGACGGGGGTTTGCAGAAGGCACAAGGCACAAGGCTGTTAAGGTCCGAGGCTCCGGGTTTAGGCTTTAGGGCTTAGGGTAAATCCTACTCTGTCGTTGTCGTCCTCGTCCTCGTCGCGCAATTAGGTTTGTACAAGCACAGGCAGTGTGTTCGCCGTGCTCGTAGCATTCATTTGTTGTTCCGTTTGTTTGATGCCACCACTCGTGTAGCAGCAGAACTTAGACCGGCGATTTCAACAACTTGGCCACGCGTAGAAAGAATTGTCCAGTCCATGTGGCTATGGTAGCCTTAATGAAGGTATTCGTGCTGACCTAGCCGCGAGCACAACTTCAAAAAATTCCGAATTTTAATGGCCCTGAACCCTAAGCTAAACCCTAAACTCTAAACCCTACGCTAAAAACCCTAAACCCTAAACCCTAAGCTGAAAACCCTAAACCCTAAACCCTAAAACCCCTGAACCCTGAATCCCTAGACCCTACCTGGCTCTGCTGTTGAGGTGGCTCTTTGCGTCCTCTACGACCTGCTGGTCATCCCCCTGGCGGTTTTCGACCTCCCGGAGAGCTCACTGTCTCAGGCCCAGAGAGCCCAAGGGTTTTTAGGGTTTCAGGGTTTAGGGTTGTGGGGTTTAGACTTTAGGGTGTAGGGTTTCAGGGTTGACGGCACATGCACTCTTGTGCGGACTCAGCTTTTCGGCTCCGCATGGCCAGACCCCTTCAGGTGAGTCTTCTGGGGGGAAGTTTGGCTTCGCTGGGGCTGAGATTTCTGGAGGACATAAGCAGGGTCGGAACCCCAAGCCTCGATTTCTGTCCGGAGTGCCCGGCTTTGATTAATCCTTTTGAAGGGAAAATTCAGTTGGACAGCTTGGTGCTGGGCATTCTGATCGGGCTTCTTCTGGGGCCGGTGGTGGACCTCCTTTATCTGTTCAGGGTTTGGTGGATTTCGTTCGTTCGTGAGCAAGTCCGCCTCCTGAGCACAAGGCCTCCGCTCTACCGGGTCCTTTGATGGACGAGAGCCTTGCTTTGCTGAGACAGATTAGTCTCAGCTTGCAAGCTCTGTCGCGTGAGGTGCACAGGCAAGGTCGAACCCTGTCCCGCGTGCAAGAGCTCGTCGAGGAGCTCCACCCAGGTGCCGATTACGAGGTGGTGAGCCAGCCGCCAGCTTCCGGAGCTGGCTTTTCTTCCGCTTTGCCTGTCGAGCCTGTTTTCCCGATCGGGGCCTCGCCTGCCTCTAGTGCACCGGTTGCCTCGCCTGCGGCCGGTTGTCCAGGTGCCGAAGGTTCTGAGGTGCACAGGTCTGCCATCACTGAGGAGGAGAGGCGAGAGATCGCCAGATCTATTGGAGCTTTCTTCCGGAGGTGCTTAGACAGTGTGTGTCGGGGCACTTCTGGCCGGGACCGTAACCCTCTCCAGAGCCGTTGCTACGTTGTGGTTGCGGATTACAAGGGGCAGCGATACAACCCGCCTCTTTTGTTCGATCAGTTTGCTCCGGTGAAGGAGCTCTGCAAGAGGGGCTCGGTGACGGGCTCGTCCATTTTCTGTGGCTTTCCTGCCCAGTGGGAAGCGAAGATAGCTTGTGAGGCTGCCGGCCTTTCCTTGCCAGTCCGACCGAGCGATGTCAGGCAGCAGTGAGGAGTCTGCTGAAGCTCCCCGCCCTCCTGGTTTGTCCTATGTCACGGCGGGAAGGAGAACGAATTTTGATTACGAGGTTGGTTTTCTGACCGTCGGGGAGCCGACTGCCCGACGGAGCATTGCAATCATTTTGGTGACGGAGTTTGAAGATCGTGTCGTGGTGGCCCTTCCTCAGAAGGCCTGGAACAAGACGGTGGCAAAGCGAGTGATGCAGCCCGGCCCCTTCACCAAGGCTCTTCAGGTGGAGGTCACTCGAGCTGCGTCCCTTGAGGCCCGGGATCAGGCAGGTGCCGGTACTATGAAGATATGGGTGGGCCTGCTCAGCCGAGCTATCGCCGAGCAGGTTGTGTTTGACTCCGAGAGCGGTCCCGACATCATCTTCGTGAATCCCCAAGGGGAAGCCTGCCTTCCATATGCCGAGGCTTTGGCGCGGGTCGCGAACGAGCATTTTGCTTTTTGGAGCCCGAATGAAGGCAGCGAGGATCGAATCGCAGCCTTGGAGAGATCTGTGAGGGAGCTCGCTACCACGGTGCAGTCTCTGGTTCCCAAAGCTCCTATGGAGAGCCGCCCCAAAGCAAAGCCAGGGGCTGCTGCTTCAAGACTCCGGGACGAGCCGGGATCTGTGCCGGGTACTCCGGTTCCACGCAGGACGGCAAAGGGGTTTTCCGGCCTTGACCCTGCAGTCGTGCAAGCTGCTGTTCAGAGTGGCATCAGCCCGGGGGAGCTTCAGGAGGTGAAGCGCATGCTGGGACATCAAGGTGGCAGGCTGCACGACTTCCCCCAAGGTGGGGCGGGAGCTGGGCTCAGTCCTCGTGGCAGCCAAGCCGAGGCCTACGAAGAGCTCGATGGCGAGCTCGCTGATGCTGCTGCTGCTGAGCCCGGCGGCACTCCAATCGAGACCGCGCTGGTCACTCTCACCAGTATTGTAAAGGAGCTGGCCGGGAAGCGAAAGGTTGGGAAGGAGAAGACTTGGGATACGGTGTTGGAGGGCCTCGAAGGTTTTCCTTCGGTGGATGGCTCTTCCAGCAGCTCTTCAGGATCGAGGTCCAAAGCCGCCGCCTTGCGAGCTCTGAAGTCTTCGCTTCGTTTGCATCCCGAACAGATCTATGAATCGGTCGAGTCCCTCATGGAAGAGGACCTTCTGAACCGGAGGTCTGCTGGTGGGCTGGCTGGAAGTGTTGCTTCGGCTCGCAGCTGGTTCGAGCATCGATCCAGGCTCGGGCCTTATGCTAATAGCATAAGGCTCGGTTGGGCCATCGCTGGCATTTGGGACTGCCTCAGGGAACAGAAGTATCAAGAGGCCAGGGCGAGGGCCGCTCTGGCTGTTGCAGCCCTAGACCAGCAGAGCCTAGACACGGGCAGCTGGCTCATAGCTCAGGAGGTGATGCTAGAACCTCCTCCACCCCTTAGCAGCTTCACCGCTCGCCGGGTTCAGCAGTTGGATCCGCTGGAGAGCTTCCATTCGAAACTCCTTGATCCGAGAATGGCCGATTTGTTGCTTCACAGGGTTAAGGAGGTTGAGGGCTACATGGAGGCGAAGAAGAAGCTGGGGAAAGCTCGTGTGACAGACCCCCCTCGGGGAGGCGAGGAGGTTCCCACAGGAGCTGCCGATACAAAGGGCCGAAAAGGCAAAGAAGGGAAGGCTGACAAGTCTGGAAAAGGCCCCTCCGGGGGCCAGGGGCAGTAAGTCTTCTTTGAGCCGTGTTGACAGGCGGGTCGCTCCGTCCTGCTTGTCGCTTGCAATGCTCGCTGCCTCCAGGAGCTTTTGTTGGGTTCTGCTCGGGGTTTCTCTTATCGCCTGCCGCTCCTCTTGGCTGCTGGAGCCCACCGCGTCGAAGTCGCTGCTTTCTGGGCCACTCGGATCCGCTCCTTCTCTGTCTGACTTAGGCTGCGCGGGGGCCTGCGCCAGCTCTCTTGGAATCAGGGCCGACCCTTTCTTCGAGACCAGCTGTGTGTGTGTGGCCCTGACTTGGCTGCGCCTTTTTCAAGTTCCGTCGCTGAGCCTTTGAAGGTTTCTCGGCTTTTTGCTTTAGTTGGAGGCAGGCTTGGACAGGACCTTTGCCCCACTTCGATCCCTCGTCGTCCTAACAGACCCTTTGCGTGGTTGCAACTCTTCCCTTTGTCTTTTGAGGATTGCCGTGTTTTTCACGCCAGACCCTTGTGGGGGAGTGCCGCGCTTTTATCAAGTCCGCCCTCCGGGCCTTTGAATTTCTCTCGGAGTGGCTCTTCAGCCTGTCCCGGGCCCTTTGGGAGCCTAAGCTGGCGGGATAATACCACTGATTGCAGCTCGCTGCCAGCCAGCCGCTGTGCCGCGTTGGTTTGGAGCCCCGCGGCTCAGCTTGCATATTGGCCCTGCTGGGCTTTATCGCCCAGCGTCTGCCCGGGCTGTGTGCCTTCTTCGGTGCTTGGTCTCGGCCTTCAGCACTTTTTCCGTTTCGCCTCTAGGGCTTCTTTTGCCCCTGCGTTTTTGCAGGTTGTTTTCTTCACGAGAATCAGGCCTCGAGGTCTTGCCTCCGCGATGCAGGTGCCAGGGGCTTCGGCCAGTACCGTCGTTGCTTCGGAATCCTGGGCTTCGCTGCGAGCTCTGCTCGATGCCGATCCTGATCTAAAAGCCTTTCTCTCTGGCCCTTCTTTCGGAGCTCACCGTGCGGAGTTCCCTTTCTCTTTCGTCCAAAACTGTGCCGAGCTTTTGCCCAGGGCGGCTTCTGTAGCTGCCGTCGAGAGCGATGCCTGTGGACTTATTTCTCTCGTTTTCGATCATCTGGCTGCAAAGCCTTTCCGCAGAGTTTCTCGGGGCCCTTTGGCCTCCCCTTTCTCAGCTAGAGGAACGCGTGCCGCCCAGCCCGCTTTAACACGAGGTTGGGCCCGAGTTCTAGATGCCGTGCAAGCTTGGAATTCCTACGGGGCCGTCGATGCTAGCAGCATGGGCCGAGCGGCTGGAAAATTTGAGAAGGTCGAGGAGCAGATTGCGGCACTCGAGCTCACTGCGTTACAGCACGGGGAGGCTGAAGCTGCCTCCCAGCGAGCCCCTTCTCTGGCTTTGGCAAAGGACGTTGAGGTGAACCGCCTTTCTTTCCCACCTGCGCCGGCTTTCGACCCTTCGAGTTTGTTTGACCGGGAACTTCGGCGACTCTATTTGCATCCAGAGGCTTTCTGTCTGCATCCTGATGAGGTGCCAGGGGATCCTCCTAGGGTCAAGGTCCGCACTTCGGATAGACGAGCTCGTCTTGACCTCCTTGCAGCTCTGGATGCCCAGCATATGCTTGCCATGTTCCCCGGAGAGGCGGCCTGTGACAGACGCTCTGCCGGGATGTTCTGTATTCCGAAGAGCCTCGACCGAGATCGTTTGATCCTTGATGCGAGGCCGGGAAACAGGTGCACTCCCTTGGACAGTCGCTGGCTATCCACGCTGGGTTCGCATACTGTTTTGCTCGACTTCGTGCTAAAGCCCTCTGAACTGTTGTTGGCTTCAGGTGAGGATATCCGAGATTATTACTATAATTTCGAGATCTCCCCGTCCCGGGCAAGACAGTACATCCTGATAGGCGATTACAAGCCCGAGGAGGTCAGCCACTTCTCCTCTTTCGAGCCCCGTTTTTGGGCCTCCTCTCGAGTCGTGGTGGGGCTTCGGACGTTGGCAATGGGGGATGTTAACGCAGTTTCTTTTGGGCAAGCTGCTCATGTGGGGCTTGTTTTGGCCTCTGGGGCCGCTGGCGTCGAAAATCTCTTGACCTACCGGGGTCGGCCTCCACGTGATAGGCTGTCTTTGGGGGTGGTCATTGATGATCTTCTGGTGCTAGAGCGCACATTGCGAACAGAGATTGCTGCAACGAGGGGCGCGGGGAGTCGGGACGTGATTGCGAAAATCCGGGCAGCATACGCCAGAGCTCCGTTGCCTCGTCACGAGGGAAAAGGTTTCTTGTGTGAAAGTGAGGTCGAAGTTTGGGGAGCCCAGCTGAATGGGGATGCCGGATGGGTCAGACCGAATTGGAGTCGTCTGGAGTCGTCTGGTGCCGCTTGTGCACATCACGCTCGCAGCTCTTCGCTTGCCCTTGATGTCGGTCTCTCTTTTGGAGATTCTCTCTGGCTGCTGGGTGGCTTCGCTCTCTTTCCGCCGCCGACTTCTGTGTCTCCTCTTCGAAGTGTACCGAGCTCAGAGGGGAAGGGAGCGTGAGGATCTCTTCCGGCCCTCGGTCGAGCTCCGAGCTGAGCTTTTCTGCTTGGCCTGTCTCGCCCCTTTAGTGCGCACAGATTTGAGAGCTCTGCCTGCCACGACCTTTGTTGCAACAGATGCCTCCGATGATCTGGGTGCTGGGGTTTGCTGCGAGATCTCTGAGGCTCTTGCAGGGGAGCTCCTGAGACATTCCCTCGCGAAAGGCCTTTGGAACCGGCTCCTGCGGCCCTCTGACGCTCTTCTTCACGCCAAGGGTTTCCTAGCTCCTGACGAAGCCCTCCCTGACGGCGACTGCTACCGGACAAGCGCGCTCTGGACCCAAGTGAACCGCAGCCTGCCTTTCAGGGTTTTAGGCTCTTTTCGGCGGCCGTCGTGGGAGCACATAAATATAAAGGAGTTGGAGAGTTACTTGGTCGTCGAAGAAAAGCTTTCCGTGACAAGCTGGGAGCGGAGTCGCCCTTTGAGCTGCTTGGACTCACAAGTGTGTCTGGGCGCCCTTCTGAAAGGGCGCTCCAGCTCGCAGAGCTTAAATTTTAGGCTGCAGAGTGCGGTGCCGGGGCTCCTTCTGTTCGGGGTTCAGCCTTACTATGCTTTCGTAGCTTCGGAAGATAACTGCGCTGACGATCCGACTCGTCGTGTCCCGTTGCGGGGCCCCAGGCACGAGAAGCCGCCATGGCTCGTCGCTGCTGAGGCCGGGTGCTTCAAGCTGCTGGATACCTTCCTGGCCGAGCAGGGCCTCGACCCCCTAAAGCTGCAAGGGCTCTCCGAGCTCGAATCTTCCTTCGCGTCGCGTGCCGAGCCTGATCCCGGATGGGACCGGTGTGTTGCCGAGGCCTGGAAAAGGGAAAGCTGTTCTTTCTCGCCTGAGCCACGAACAAATGCTGAGGCTGGTGCTGAGGAGCGCGTTCAGCTGATGCGGGGGGTTTCCCTTCGGAGCGGCTTGCTTCTCTTCCTAAGGTGCTTGGGGAGCAGCGCGACTCTGAGACTACGGCCGCTGCGCGATCATCTCCGGCTGCGGGCTTCAAGAGTGGTTTTCTAGGTGCAGCTGAAGCGGCGGGTTTTCCGTCGGAGCGTGTTGCTTCTCTTCCTTCCGAGGCCCTTGTGAGTGCGCAAAAGCCTAGCTCAGCTCTTGTTCGACTGTTCGGGCTGGTTTCAGACAGCCAGATCATCTGGCCTGATGGCAGGAGGCATCGAGCTGGCGAGAGGCCAAGCGGCCCAGGTTATCTTTGCCTGTACGCTGGTAGCCGTAGGGTTGCTAAGGCTGTGAGCCGGTTTTTAGGAGTCTGGGCTATCACTTTCGACTGGAAGCACGGACCTAGGCAGGACCTCAGTTCCTCAGACTTGCAAGCTGCCCTGGTCGATGTTGTAGGCTCGGGTTCTTTAGTCGGCGTCGGTTTAGCTCCTCAGTGCCCTTCGCTGAGCGCTGCTGTGCAGCCCTCGCTTCGCTCAGCATTGTACCCGGAAGGCAAGCCCGGGTTACCAAGCAACTCCCAGGCAAAGGTGCTCTCAGGTAACGCCCAAGGATCCTTCGCTGCCCGTATCGTCGCTGCCGCCGTTCGTTTCAGGGTTCCTTTCTGGGTTGAGGGGCCCGCTGGTAGCTGGCTGTGGAGGCTCCCTTGCTTTGAACAGATACTGTCCTCCAGTAGTGTAGGCTTCTGGGAGTTTGATTGCTGTGTCTTTAACCTGCCATGGCGAAAACGTACTCGGGTGCTGACCAACACTGGCCTAGCTGGACAAAGCGACCTTTGTCGAGGTGGACACGAACACTTGGTGCTGCGAGGAAGGTCAAAGCAAAGAGGCCTGAGCTGGACTCAGCTGTCCGAGGACTTCCCAAAGGGGGCGTGCTCTCTTCTGGCGTCCGCGATAGGTCTGGGTGTGCCCCGGCCCGATGCTACCGTCAGCAGTGTCGTCCGCGACGAGGCAGCACGCATCGGTGAGGCCAAGAACCCGGGGCCTGCTACGAAGCGCAAGCCCAGGTCGGGGTCTTTGTTCGATGTCGAGCTCGTCGAGCCCTCCACAGCAAAGCTGCGTTTGTCTGTTTGGGAAGTTTTCAAGGGCTGGCTCCATGAGAAGCTGGCCGCCTCTACAGTGATAAAGCTTTTCAGTTGTTCGCCGCTCCTAGCTCTCGTGCTTCGGGACTACGGGGAAGAGCTCTACAAAACTGGATTTCCCTTGGGCTACTACAGGCAGCTCTTGGCTCACTCGCAGAGGGTTTATCCCCTCGTGAAGCCTCACCTGGGCATTGCCTGGGAAATGGTGAGCAGATGGGAGGAGCTGCAACCAGTTTGCCACCGGACTCCAATGCCGGAGATCTTGCTAAAGGGGCTGTTGGGGCTGGCCGTGCAACTTGGCTGGTTCCGGTGGGCAGCTGCCACTGCTGCAATTTTCTATGGCATTGCCAGGCCGGGCGAAGTACTCAGGGCTTTGCGAAAGCATCTTCTCACTCCTGAAGATTTGCTGGATCCAGCCCACGGCTGGATTTACCTCAGGATTGGCAAACCAAAAAGCCGAAGAAAAGCTGCGAAGATTCAACATATCAAGCTGGGCGAAGCCGCCGTGCTTCCTTTTCTTCAGCGAGTTTGGGGCGATCTTCGCCCGGGCGAACGACTTTATCCTGGGAGTCCTGCAGTTTACCGACGAAGATGGGACAGATTGCTGACCGTTCTGGGTATTCCGGAAGGGCATGGGTTAACACCGGCTTCTTTACGAGGCGGTGGGGCCATTTCGGCCTTCCACAAAGGCCTGAGCATCTCTGATCTATTATGGAGGATGCGTTTGCGATCGGCCTCCACCTTAGAGTTTTACTTACAAGAGACTTCAGCAGTTTCTGTCCTCCCAAAGCTGTCGCAGAAGGTGAGGAGGAGGATTCTTGCAGCAAGCTGTTTCTTTGAGGCTCTGGGTTCGAAGGAAGGTTTCTGGCCATGTTAGAGCGCGCTTCGCGGCCTAGTCTGGAGGTGGAGAGAAGCGCTCGGCAAAACTTGCCGATGCCGGCAAAACTTGCCGATGTCGCTGCTGATATCCACTCTTGTTATGCCAGAG